CACGCGCCGCCGTAGCTCGCTTCGCTGCTGCTGCCGTTTCGCCGTTGCTGCCCAGGATTGCACGGATTGGTTTCCGTGGCAATCTAGCTCCGTTTAGTGAGCCTACCTCACGCTTTGAGAGGTAAAGTTTCGAATCCATTGTCGTTCGATTCGATTTCATTTAAATTAAATATGCATGTTCGTTTTAGTAAGAAACATGTGTGATTTTATGTGACTACATGAAATTGTTTAATTACTGCGAGCATGATTATTTGATTTAAACGCGAGCATGCTAGTTGATTTAATTTCGATTAAGTAATTAAGCATGTATGTTGTTTTTAATTTCGCTGGAAGCGCAAAGGTACGCAATTAATTGTTTTCAATTATCGGGCATGTGTTTATGTGTTTTAACTTTGTTTAAATCGCATAAAATTTTTGTTTTCCGCTACGTACACTTGTCCGATTCCCAACATTAGGACCATACATTCCTTTGAATTCATTCATTATGCAATCATTATCGGCAAAACCAAATGAAAGGTGACCCATAGCAATAACCATAGCCCACCCTTCTCCTTCTTTTTTGTTTCGGATATTTAAATAAAGAAGAATCGTTACCTCCCTGTGAAGATCCGGTTTGCAATTGAGTTTGACTTTTGTCGATGCCGAGAACTTGGGGATGATTATTCCTCAAGTGCCGCCAATAAAATCCATATCCATCTCCTTTTTTGAAGGCGTACTTTGACTAGACAAATTAAAAATATATATTAAATTAGGTTACGAATATTAATACTACAAATTTTTTTTTTTCCGATACTAACGGGGACTTACCTTGCAATAATTGCATTGAGTTCGACAAGTCCCGTCCACCTTCTCAATTTTTTTTATAATGCAACCTCCAAATGTTGGATTTAGAAAGATCATTATCATCACCGGGACGGATCCCATCGATGGTTGATGATTGAGATGACCGCTTAGACCTAGATGCCCTAGCCCAAGGAACTGAACCGCCGGATGGTTGTAGCGGTGGCATTTCCTCCGGCTCATAGTCGCCCAACTCGGGAATGATCGGTATGTCTTCGGTGTAGGTATTGAGAATTGATGGAAAATCACGTTCCCAAGTACCATCATAGTTGTAGTCCATTTCAGGAGGAACTACAGATTTTTCCTTTCCTTTTCCGCTACGACGTGAACTTGAAGATATTTTTTTCACTAACAATAAAAACAATGTTTTTTGGTTTTTTTGACTAACAATTAAAGAGAAATTCGGAAATACAAAAACAATTTTTTTTTTGATTTTTTTTTACTAACAATTGAAGAGAAATTCGAAAATGTAAAACAACTT